AAAAAAAAAAAAAAAAAAAAAAATCAAACTCCTTAACTTGGCTTTTAGAAGTTTTTATGATTGGCCCCTGCAACTTCCGGTATCTCACGTCTTGAACTCCCTGCTGACTTTGCGAGCTCTGTACTCCAGCCATACTGTTATTTGCAGTTTTATGCTTTCTTCTCCACATCTCTCTTCATCTACCTACCAGCTCTGCTGCATTCAAGTCAGCTATGAATGCAGAATGCATTGGAGCCTTTTCTGATCTCCTTCCTGAAGCAGAGGGCTCCCTCTTGGCTCCTTTATGTTCTAGGCTTCCCTGTGCACCACCTCCCCTCTCTCCTCTCCTCAAGTCTCTCATCACCTGGAGAACCAGGACAATGTCTTCTTTTTATTCCTAGTGCAGTGCTTACCATGCATTTACCAATACCTGCGATTTACTTTGTGCTCAGCAAATACTCATAGAGTGAATTAATGCAGCAAAAAACAGCCTGTTTGTCTTTATGACTAAATAACAAATTGTTTTTAATGCAATTGGAACTGTGGGTGGCTACGGTTCAGAAACATATATTTGGGAAACATTTAGAAGGAAGGGAAGCATACACATCGATTGGCTTGACCTTTATAAAATGGATGGGATAGAACATTACAGAAAATTGGTCTATTGCTTATATATAAAGTGAAATAAAAACACAACACAAGAACAGAACTTAGAATGATGGCCACACCTTTGTCTCCATTCATGCCCCTTGAATTTCTGCTCTAGAGTCCAGTGGAAAGGCCACTGAATGTGAATTGACATTGAGTAGCCCCAAGGACAGACATTTAATGAAAATCCAGGCCTGACATTAAACTCTGATCTTTTATACTTCAAAAGCAACCAACTCTTGTGGGGTTCTTATTTGAATTCTGTTACTGAGTGCATGTGTCATAATAATAAATTACTTATACACTCTTGTAGAACAATATTTGTGCCTCTCAACCTCTTTTATAAAACATTGTAATGATAAAAGAATAATTTCACATTTTATATTAAAAAGCCTGTGAAAACAGATGCTTCCCACATGATTTTGTATTATGGACTGAATGATATCTATTGGAAAAAATCAAGATAAGCAGGAAGAGCCAGGGTATTTGAATATCTTGTAGGAAAATAATCTGTGAGCACAATGACTGAATAAGCAATCATTTAAGGGCAATTAAAACATTAACAAAGCACAAGTTTATTATACTTTAGTAAAAGTAAAATACAGTAAACGGCACTATATTATACAAAGTTTACCTTTAATCTATTGTAGTATTTATATGTATCATAATATCTGTAATATTTATAATAAATTATTAACATTTCAGTAATGTAAACATAAAGAATGTAAAGCGAAACCTAGATTGATTCTTGGGAAATGTCTACCACATCCAAGAGCCAAAAACATTGCAGTTTATCCTAAGGACAATAGCAGAAATTGATGTGGGCAGGAAAAAAAAGTGAATCTAATTAAAATATTGGCAAGATTGGAAAACTGCCATAGGGAATAATACATAAGTGACAAAGGCTATGGATTATATCTGTTATTACTCCATGATTTTAACTTTTATTTTTAAATTGACTTTTCTTGCTATTTGGGGATTAATTAAAATCCTTAAAAAAGAGAAGCAAAGTTCACTATAAATACCGAGCAGATTCTTAGATCCTAGAAAATGTTCTATGTAACTTTACTTAATTCTGGTGATTAAATTCCAGTATATGGTACTTGGGGACAATATCTAATGCCACCAATTCCTTGGACTATATAAAGAATCAAAAAATTGAACTGCTTTAATTATACTTCTATGTTGTAAGGGACCTTTTATTATTGAATTCTATATCCTCAGGGTCTAGCAAATGCCAGATGTTTAATAAATGTTAGTGGAGTGAAAAATGACTTAAAGTCACAACTTTCAAAATCGATCATTAAGAGAAATGCTGTACAATATGTTTTTCTCGTCTTTGGGGGGGGCATATAAAAGTCTAAATATTATATTGACTATGCCAGAATATTTTTTTCATTAAGCAATCTTTTCATTATTTAATTCATCAAGTCATTTATTATCTGCTTCTAAGCACAATTATATTTAAGGACTAGAATCTAGAGAGCTTAACTAAAATTGTCACAGATTAAATGAATGGAGAGATTGGGCCAAAGATAAATATGATGATATTAATACTCTTGCCACATTGGTTTATTTTAGCCTAAACAACGAACATCCATTGTGTCGTCTCTGGATTTTCAACGAATGAACCACAACCAAGAGTATTTTGAAATCAGCACATCTGCAGTGTGTGCAAGCTCTTCCTGCAGTCCTGCTGTTAGTCCACCCCCCTCTTCCGTGGGAACCGTGGAGGTCAAGAACGAAGGAACTGACCACACAGGTATAGCAGTTCACTTGATGCAGCTACACTTTTGACCTTTTAAGACTAAAGACTGTAATTTAGCAGCATGAAGAAGTGTCTTCATGCAAATTGTATTCTTGGTTTACATACATGTGTGGCAGTGTGGGGTTTTACGGTTTTTGTCAAAGTGTAGGTATAATATTCTTTTTCAATGCATTAATAGTCTTTCAGGTATTAGAGATGATTGAATGTTATTATGGCAGTAAAATAGCCACAGACCTAAAATATGTTCTTCCACTGCTGTATACCTTTCTGTACAGAGTGGTATCAGCTAATCAGCATACATCTTTGTTTGAAGCTTCTTTAAAGCGTATCCATACCAAGGATACCTGTTAAGACCAAGTTGGAAAATGTTGTCAAGGTGGACTTCATGTCTGCTTAAGCCGTGATGAACACGGAGAGGAGGGGTGTGAAAGTAAGGAGAACATTAAGGAAAGCCACAACACCCATCGTAAAGTATACCTGATTCTACTCAGTCAGATTTATGATATTTTCTTTCTCTGAGGAAGGAGGAGCTACTAATTAACTAGTAAGGCTGAGAGAGAGAAATATGGGAAGTGGATCCCAGTCTCTTACCCTTCTGTCTAATTTACATTCAGTGAACTATTCAATTTCTTTTCTTCAAAACCCTGTCGATGGGATTAATACAAATTTTACAATCAGAAATATGGTCATGATGGGTTTTATGTGTATTTTCTGTTCAAAATGTGTGTGTGCATGAACATGTGCATAATATACATGTACGCATTTAAGTCCTTTAACCTGAATCTACTTTAAAAAGCACTGATACAAAGATTCCCAGATATAGCCAGCAGTTATTTTCCCTGAGGAGGGGAAAACTGATTTGAAAAAGTGATGACCAGTGAGAAAGGTAAGGTTGAGACTCTGTGGAAATTATAATCCTATCTTCCATAGCAACTAGACCAAAGTTATAAGAGGCAAATCAGAGCTTCTTAGTGCCATAGTTAGAATGCACCAAAGGCTTCTAGTTGAACTTAGAATAAAACCCAACTTCTTACTGTGGCTAGTGAAACCCAATTCAACCTGGTTCCTGACTATCTCTAGCTTGATCTTTGGCCCACAGTGCTCTTCTTTGCTGAATGTGTGGCTGTAGCACTTTTGCACTTTGGTCCCTTCTGCTTGCAATGTCTATCTCTAAATTTTCTTGTAAGATTGAGTGTTATTTGGTTTTGCATTCAAGTGTATTTCCTTATATAGGCTTTCCTGGACAACGTTATTTCAAGTACAAGCTCTCAATATGATAGTTATAATAATAAAGAAACAAAACAATAATAAGTAAATGTTTAAACGATGGTATGAATTGGGCACTGTGTTTCATCACCTGAGAAAAACACTTAGAGGAGGAAGGGTTTATTTTGGTTCACTGTTTCATGGTTTTGAGTCCTTGGTCAGGTGATTGCATTGCTGTAGAAACATGATGGCAGCGAGGCGCACGGAGGAGCAAAGCTCTCAAGGTCATGGGAAGAAGAGAGCCAGGGGCCAGAGATAAGACAGAGCCTGTAAGGTCTTGCGTCCCCACAACCTACTCCCTTCAACTACGTACCACCTGCTTAGTTTTCGTTACCTCTTAGACATGCCGTCAGTGGGTTCATCCACTGGGAAAGTTAGAGCCCTCGTGATCCAACCACCCTCTGAAAGTTTTACACCTCAACATGTGAGACTTATTTTAGGGGACCTTTTTGCTCTAAACCATAATACAGTGCTGTAGAGATTGTGTGTATATCAGCTTATTTGATCTTATGACTGCCATATGGATTAGGCACTACCATGTGCAGATAAGCAAACAGACACAAATAACAACCCGTAAAGACCGTGCTGTGATGTAAGTGTGGTGAGTCCATGTTCTTAAGCATTTTTCCGCTTTGCTGTAGTCACTTCTAGGAAATCTTCCCCTTTTATCTCTTCCATGGCGTTATTTACTAGACAAAGTAATATTAATTATTCATTTGATTATTTATTGTCTTCTCTCTTTCAAGAATCTTCTCTAGAATAGATGGACCTCTGGCATGCTGTTGGCACTGAAGTCAGATTGCCTAAGTTTGGTTAGTAATTGGGAGGCTCGGCCCCTATCTGGCCATGAGACTTGACCATTTTTATATTAGAATTTTCTTATCTATAGAATTAGATTAACAATGAATTAATTAGATTAACTTACCATGTAGTGTGATAATGCATGTAAAGTGATTAACATAATATCTGGCACTTACTTAGTGCTCAATAAATATTAATAACTGTTAGTAGTATCAGCAGTAATTATGATATTAACATAATTCTTTGCAGTCTGCATCAAACTTAACATTCACTCAGCTACGATTTATTGTTTTTCTGCCATTTGCCAGATGCAGTTTTATAGCAGAGGAGAGACAAGATGTGATTTGTAAAGAAAAACAGTACGTGGACCACTGAAAGGGTTCTGGGCATATAATTATTATTCAATCAGTACTCATTTGAGTACTTGCTCCAGATTTAAAATTGAAAAATGGGAGCAATGACAAGTATTTTGATACTTGCCTTTAGGAAAATCTTGCTTGGCTTTATTTTGGTTAGAACATTATTCTTCTGATGATGAAGTTTTAAATTTTTTTCAATTATCTGAGATAGATGAATTATTATTTCTTCCTCTCTCTCTCTCCCTCCCCCCTCCATTGCCTGCCCCCTTCCTTCCTTCTTCTCTTCCTTTCTCCGTTTCTCTTTATAATTGAAGTGAGAGGAGTTACAGATCTAGTCTCAGAGCCTGATGCCTCTGCACTCTGACTCTGACCACCGAGGGGAGGGTAAGAACACACTTTGCACACTGCCAGGACGTCAGAGGTACCATGCAAAATGTGCAGAGAAATTTTAACCGTCAGGATATGGTCAGGTCTGCCTTTCAATAGAACCAAAATCTAGCCTTGGAACAGTTGAAGTTGTTTCCAGTAGCCATTTCTGTACTTTGCTAACAGAATGTATCGCTTTCATATTTCATTTAAAATTTAAATTTAAAATAGATAACACTGTGGAACATCAGGGCTGATTTGCCTTCCATTAAACATAAAACTTTAAAATTTTAAAGTAAAAATTTAACGTTGACATTTATCTGTTTCAAAAAGTATGTATTTAAGAACCTTTGTCTAAAGATACTGCCACATGGTATATATTGAAAGAGAATGAAACTGAGTCAGTCCCATCACTGATGTGCTCAGTATTTTCCATTAAATCATTTAACTTTTCTGATTTTCAATTTGCTCTTCTGAAAAGGGAAAATAATATACAGTTTTAGGATATTTTTAGTAGTAAATGAGTTTACTTAAGTGAGTGCATTTTATAAACTATGAATACTAATATTATTAAATGCTATCATCATTTAATATCTAATTTTGCTTCTCTAATATCTTTTATTGGAAATCTATAGTAGTTTTAAGATAGATGAACCCTCTGTACACCTGTACCTTTTAGGTAAGGTGATTACCTTTGTCTTGATTTTAAAGTATAATCTAAACCAACAGATACTTCTATAGTTTGGTTTATAAATGATTGCTTGCACAAGAAATTAATCTTAGCAAAAATGGTATTTAATAGAACAAAGACCAATTGCCTTAAAAAATGAATTGTATGTTGTAAAACACTAAGAGAACCAATGAATGTATTCTAACCCAGGGTCATTTAGCAATCATCCTGAATTACGGTTAAAACGTCAGAACATGAATCATCCAAACAAACTGTTGAAGAGGAAGGGCTTTGGCATTAGACAGACTGGGGAATGACGGAAACAGGGTTGCACTTGCCTAGACAGAGTAGTGTTAATACTTAGTAGGTCGATTTGAGGTGAGTTGAAATTGCAAGTGGGGAGAAACGTGTCATGAGCAATAATGGAGAGATGAGAGCAAATTCAAGAGATGAAAGGAAGCAACAGTGAGCAAACCGATTGATGCAACTGACTGGCTGTGCAAAGGTGAGGGAGAAGAGTTCAAGGAAGGCTCTGAGTTTCTAAGCCGAAGCAGATGAGTCCATGCTGAATGTGATTGCTTGGAATATGGAAGGTTTGTAAGTAAAAAAGCGAGGGCGGGCATATGGATTATGTAAGGGCTGACAGGCCATTTAAGGTCTTCAGTTTGGGAATGAAACGAGAGGGATCAGGTCTTTCGGAAGAGTCTCAGGGCCTGACCTCCTCTTTATGAGGAAGCAGGCAGCCAGCTCAGCTCAGAGCAATCACAGCGCTGCAGGAAGTTGAGAGAGGAGTGCAGCCACGATCAGGGGTGTCACAGTGGAGGAGGAGAAAAACGGGAATTTGGATGTGTTTTTTAAGTCGATGCAATAGGACTGTATGGAGGGGTAGACGCAGTATGTGACAAAAAGAAAATTAAACAGGCCTCCAAGGTTTAATTTTCCTGAACGACTGGAGGAATGGGTTTCCTGTTTTCTTACATACAAGATGTGAGAAGAGCATACTGGGTGAACTCGGAGTTAAGTGTAAGCCCCAGAGGCCTACTGATATCTGAAAGATGTGTGAGGTAGGAAGCTGAATAGAGAAGTATGAACATCCCCATTATATAGACGATGCGGAGTGAGCACAGATGAAGAGGACTGAAAGTGAGGTGTAGGGGAAGGAGGAAGAAAAACAACACTGGAAGGAGCCACCTGCAAGGTCGGAGGAAGTCTGGCAAGTGCTGCCGTGCACTCCGTCCAATGCAGCTAAGGCACTGCGCGAGATGAGGGCTTTTAGAGAAGACTGTGGGTCTAACAATGCAGAGGTTAGGGCTGACCTGAACAAGAGCAGCTGGAGTAGAACTACGGGGACAGAAGCCCACAAAGTTTAAGGGAGAATGGGAGGAGAGGACTTACAGAGAGCAAGTATAGTTTCACTCACGGTCCAAAGAAATAAGTCAGGCTCAGAAATGTATCCTACAATCTTACTATTCCCTACCATGTGTAACAGGATGTGGACCTTTAAGGGATTTTTCTTTTCAAACGGGACTTTT